GACTGTAGCCTGCTAGGCTCCTCTATCCATGGAAGTCTCCAGGCAAGAATACTGGAGTGGGTTGCCATTTCCTTCTCCAGGGGATCTTCCTGACTCAGGGATTGAACCCAGGTTTCCTGCAATGCAGGCAGACCCTTTACTGACTGAGCCAGAAAAATGACGCTGCAGGAAAGCCTGGCTTGGGCCTCACCTCCCCCTCCCCCGGGACCTCAAGTACAGTGCCCCCCCAACTTCAGTTTATCTGTGAAATGGAGACATGCACGCCCACCTCACAGGAGTCTAACAACTGAATGAGAAGAACCCGTTTGGTGGTCGGGACTCTCTATGAGACAGTGCCCTTCTCCCTGGTCCAGGTGACAAATTAAGCCCTAAAGGGTCTGTTTTCCAAAATCACAGTTCCTGCTGAGTTCTCACCTTGGTGTGTGCCCAAATTTGAGTAGAATTGCTCATCTCTGACTAGGAAGGATTTGAGTCCCCTTGTAGGAAAGAGGCTCCTCACCCCGCTGGTTCCTGGGGCTGATACAGAGGTGACCTCCAGCCCCACCCTGGGAGCTGGGCCACCACACAGCTTCTCAGCCTCAGACCTGCGAGGCTTGAGCATTTTGCAGCGGAGAAGGGCCCAGGTATGACTTTGGTGGACCCGTGCTAGTTCCCCTGTCTTTGGAGCAGGACAAGTCCCTGCCCAACTCCAGAGCTGGAAGTCAGTGTCACCTGTCCTACCCCAGGTCAGTGTGTGAGCCAGTGGACACATTTCTGTCTGCAGAAGGTGCAGCCTCCAGGGCCTTTCAGGTCAGAATCATGCTTGAATTCACCCTTTTGTTCCTTTTCTATCCATGTCTAGAGGGGGCGAGTAGGTGATAGGCCTCACCTTAAATCCCCATAATCATACCGATTTTTTACTTGCTTAAGTGAAGGCCCTTCTAAATCCCAGTTGGTTATAACAAAAGGCTTAGTATCACAGATAGGGTGGCGATGCATTTTGCTGTATTTGATGAATAATTTAAAATGCAAGTATAAGAAAAGTACAAAGATTTATATTATCTGGAATTAGTATCTTAGATGTCTCTTTCTTCACCGTCTCTCACCAAGTGAAAAAAAACAGTATCAGAATGCTAATTTTCCTAATCAAACACCCAAGGGGAAGGAATTAGATAATTCAAAACAAAACAAAACAAGGGAAGCTGGACAGACATAAAGCTCTACTTAAATAATTTTTTTAAAAAAAGGCCTAAGAGAGTAATTTTAAGTGCACAGCAAAATGGAGCAGAAAGTGCAGAGGCTTCCCATATACATCTCATTAACCCTCCACCCCTCCCTCGGGACCTCCCTCCCAGTCAGCATCCTTCACCATACGGGTGCATTTGTTACTATGATGAACCCACATCTGCACATCATTACCACTCAAAACCCATATTCAACGTTAGTGTTCATACTGGTGTAAGGGTAGTTTTGGTCTCAATTAGGAACTATCCTCCCTGCTTCTGTTTTCTGGAAGATATTTTAGATCACTAGTACAATTTCTTCTTTAAATGTTTGTAGATGTCACCTTTATATGGCAGAACAAAGTGAAGAAAATCCTTCAGAACATCAAATAAAAATTAATCAAAATTTCTGGGAATTTCCTCACAGTTCAGTGGTTAGGACTCAGCACTTTCATTGCCAGACCCAGGTTCGATCCCTGGTCAGGAACTAAGATCACACAAGCCTCACAGTGCAGGAAAACAAACAAACAAACAAAACAAAAACAGAACTTAATCGTGAAAGACACTGTTTAAAGAAAAAAAAACAAGCCACAGACTTGGAGAAACTATTTGCAGAGCACATTTCTAATAATGGATTTGTATACAAACTAGACAAGGAATGGTTAAAACTCAATAAAATTGTTTTTGTTCAGTCAGTCGCCAAGTCACCGACTCTTTGCAACCCTGTGGACTGCAATAATAAAACAACTCAATGAAAAATAAGCAAAATAATTGTTCAACTAAGATAGGAGAGAAAATAAAATTAATTTGCACAATTAAAACCACAAAATGTTGAAAAGAATGAAAGTTCAAAAACAAGAATAAAGGACAACAGCAATGTTAGGTAGTTAGAATAGAAAAAGGAGTCCAAAATGGAGAAAGGAGAAAAGCCTGCAAAAGGGAAATCAAGGAAAACTCCCCAGACAGGAGTGGGAACCTGAGGTGAAACAAACACGCCCACTTCCACACTATCATCCTGACTGATGATGACGCCCTAATTTGCATATGGCAGGCTTGCAGGGGAGCAGACAAAAAGCATAAAAAGAGGGAGCCAAGACAGGTTGAGGCCTCTCCTTCAGGGCTGGCCCACTTCATGCTTTGGGGGTGTACTATCCTTTGTTTACCAAATAAAACTCCTGAGCTGTAACCAAGCTCAGCAATAGAAAACAGTAATGAATATGGCAGATATTAATCAGCTATTTCAGTAACCACTTTAATGTTAGCGGGCAGTTAAGTCAGAGATTGTCAGAATGGATCAAGAAAAAAGACCCAACAGTATGTTGTCTACAAGAAGCCTATTTGAATACAAAGACATACCTAGGTTGCTCAACCCAAGTTTTTGCGCCCTAGCACACTGAAGCCAAACAACCAAAATATCTCTTTGGAACAAAGAAATATTTATTGCAAGGGTCAAGCATGGAGAATGCGTGGCTTGGGCTCAAATTACCCAAACTTCCCCTGCGGTTTGGGGGAAAGATTTTAAAGACAAAATTTGGAGTGAGGACTGCAGGGTGTATGACTTTCTTCTGATTGGTTGGTGTAAGGTATCAGGGTTGTCCTCTAGGAATGGTCTGTTCATCGGTAAGTTACCATCCTCCATCTGGGTGGGGCTTGAGTTCCTCCACAAGAACTCAAAGGTGTATTGTTTTGTTCCTCAAGGAGGAACCAGGACTTTGGTTAAGACAGACCAGAATCAGCAATTAAGCAAGATAGCCTGAAAAATTTGTCAGCCATAAAACAGTTCCAGGTCCTCCTCAAGAGATATAGGTAACAGTCTTAAACATATCTTTGAGGGTTATGCAGAAACCAAATACCCCCACCCAGGTGAAGGATGGTGACAATATGCTGAACACGTGTAGATCCTAGACTTGTTGGAACCAAAAGGTTATGACTAAGATTCCCAAAACACCTTGTTACATCACCACCAACCAGTGAGAAATTCCATAAGCCTCAGCTCTCACTCCAAATACTGCCTTTAAGAACTCTGTCCTGAAAGTCATCAAGGAGTTCAGGCCTTTTAAGCATGAGCTGCCTATTCTCCTTCTTGTTGTTCAGTCACCAAGCCATGTCCAACTCTTCGTAACCCCACAGACTGCAGCATGCAGGCTTCTCTGTCCCTCATCATATCCCGGAGTTCACCGAAACTCATGTCCATCCTATCAGTTATGCCATCTAGCCATCTCATCCTCTGTTGCCCTCTTCTCCTTCTGCCCTCCATCTTTCCTAGCATCACGGTCTTTTCCAATGAGTCAGCTGTTTACATCAGGTGGCCAAAGTATTGAAGCTTCAGCTTCAGCATCAGTCCTTCCAGAGTGTATTCAGGGTTCATTTCCTCTCTATTACTTGGTGCCCCACAAATAAACACTGTAATTTTCTTCATCATAACCGAGGGTCAGTAGATTGGCTTTGGTGTGTGGCAGGTGAGTGGACTCAAGTTTGGTTTTGGAACAATAATTTTTGACTTTTAGTGTGTGTGTGTTTGTTTTTCCTGTATCCAGAGGCACTGAGGAACTTCCCCAACCAAGGACAGAACCTGGGCCCCTGCACTGAAGTGCAGTCTTAATCACTTGACCACCAAGGAAGTCCTGATGGTAACAACTGCTTGAACTAAATGAAAATGAAAACACAACTCAACATTTGTGAGATACAGTGAAAACTGCTTAGATAGAAATGCTGCTAAGTATATAGCCTTAAATGCATATATTAAAAAAGAAGAAAGATCTAGAATCAGTCATCTAAGTCTCCACCTAAGGAAGTTGGAAACAGAGGAGCAAATTAAATCCAAAGTAAGCAAAATAAAAGAAATAATAAAAGAGTAAAAATCAAATTGAAAGCAGGAAATCAAAAGAGGAAACCAATGGACCCAAAAGCTGGTTCTTTGGGGGGAAAAAATTGATAAACCTCTAGCCAGGTTAAACTAAGAAAAATAGAAGATACAAATTACCAGTATCATAAATGGGTTGAAGACGAGACATCACTAAAGATTCCATGGACTTTAAAAATATTTTAAAAATGATAATAAAGGAATAATATAAACAAGTCAGACTATCTTCATAAAGTCTCTAAGACTTTAACCCATGAGACTGGGCACATCTCTGGAATGCAGCACTGCCAGTGTCTCGCATGCCTGATGCAAGGCTCCAACCCACTTGGAAGAAGCTGGCGGCCCCTAGACCTTTGCCTCATCAGTTTAGGCAAGTTGCAGAGTGCTATGGCTTCCACCTTAAACACGTCTTAAAGCGCTGGTGAGGTCGGTTGATTCTGAGTCCACTGACACACCTAGACCTACTCTGAAGGATCGATCACATGTGTTTGCCAAAACCTGTGGAAGCCTTTAAAGAATGTAAAGAGTACAAAATGTATTGCTATTCTCCAGAAATAAGACTGTTCAAATAGAAATAATTAAAATAAACACTTGCACATTATGCTTTCAAAAACAACACACACTGCGGACATGACTGCTGCGTCTGCGTCACTGAAACGCGGTCCTCGCGGCGGCCAGGTCGCATGCGAGCGCGGAGGGCCCCAGGCACCCAGGCGGGCACAGCGACTCCCGCCGGCTCTCGCGGGTCGGCGGGGAGGCAGAACGGAGGGAGGCCATTGGTCCGGCCCCGCTCAGGGCGTGGCGTCCGCCAATGGGAGGCGGCCGGGGCGGGGCGCCGGCGCGCGAGCACCTGAGCCGCGGCTGTGTGGCGGCCCTTGAGGACCCGCCTTCAAGGGCACTCCGAGGGTGCAGGGCCGGATCTTGTTCGCGGAGCCATGTCTCGGCCGGAAACTGGCGCAAACGCCTCCTCCTGGGTCGCTGCTTCCCGGCGGGATGAGGCACTGCTTCGGGCTCCAAATACGAGGTCGGCGGAGGCGCTGAGCCAAGGCGCTGGAAGAGGCCAGAGGACCTGCGCGGGTGGAGGCCGGAGGGGCTCCTTTGGCCTCCAGCAGCCTGAGGGCACGGGTATTGGAGAACCGCCGCTCTCCTTCAAGCTGAAGAACAACTGCGTGGGCGCCATGATCGGTAAGAGCTTAGCTGGGTTCGGAAAGGTGCGTGGCGGGGGCGGGGGCGGGGGCGGGGCTTGTGGCACTCCCGCCCCGCCCACCTCGTCTCCAGTCACCTGCCCGCGAGCGGGCTTGTCCCCTCCCCCCGCCCCACCCAGAGGTTGCTGACTTCCTTTGCGTTGATGCACCACTTGATAGTTTATCAGTTCAGTCAGTCAGTTCAGTCTTTCAGTCGTGTCTGACTCTTTGCGACCCTATGGACTGCAGCACGCCAGGCCTCCCTGTCCATCACCAGCTCCCGGAGTCCACCCAAAGCCATGTCCATCCAGTGGGTGATGCGATCCAGCCATCTCATCCTCTGTCGTCCCCTTCTCCTCCTGCCCCCAATCCTTCCAAGCATCAGGGTCTTTTCCAGTGAGTCAGTTCTTCTCATCAGGTGGCCAAAGTACTGGAGCTTCAGCTTCAGCATCAGTCCTTCCAATGAACACCCAGGACTGATCTCCTTTAGGATAGACTGGTTGGATGTTCTTGCAGTCCAAGGGACTCTCAAGAGTCTTCTCCAACACCACAGTTCAAAAGCATCAATTCTTCAGTGCTCAGCTTTCTTTATAGTCCGACTCTCACAGCCATACATGACCACTGGAAAAACCATAGCCTTGACTAGACAGACCTTCGTTGGCAAAGTAATGTCTCTGCTTTTAAATATGCTATCTAGGTTGGTCATAACTTTCCTTCTAAGGAGTAAGCGTCTTTTAATTTCATGGCTGCAATCACCATCTGCAGTGATTTTGGAGCCTCCAAAAATAAAGTCTGACACTGTTTCCACTGTTTCCCCATCTATTTGCCATGAAGTGATGGGACCAGATGCCATGATCTTAGTTTTCTGAATGTTGAACTTTAAGCCAACTTTTTCATTCCTTCACTTTCATCAGGAGGCTTTTTAGTTCCTCTTCACTTTATGCCATAAGGGTGGTGTCATCTGCATATCTGAGGTTACTGATATTTCTCCTGGCAATCTTGATACCAGCTTGTGCTTCTCCCAGCCCAGCGTTTCTCATGATGTACTCTGCATATAAGTTAAATAAGCAGGGTGACAATATACAGCCTTGACTACTCCTTTACCTGTTTGGAACCAGCCTGTTGTTCCATGTCCAGTTCTAACTGTTGCTTCCTGACCTGCATGCAGGTTTCTCAAGAGACAGGTGGCCAAAGTATTGGAGTTTCAGCTTCAGTATCAGTCTTTCCAATGAACACTCAGGACTGATCTCCTTTAGTATGGACTGGTTGGATCTCCTTGCGGTCCAAGGGACTCTCAAGAGTCTCCTCCAACACCACAGTTCAAAAGCATCAATTCTTCGGTGTTCATCTTCCTTTGTAGTACAACCCTCACATCCATACATGACTATTGGAAAAAACATAACCTTGACAAGATGTACTTTTGTTGGCAAAGTAATGTCTCTACTTTTTAATATGCTGTCTAGGTTGGTCATAACTTTTCTTCCAAGGAGCAAGTGTCTTTTAATTTTGTGGCGGCAGTCACCATCTACAGTGATTTTGGAGCCTCCAAAAATAAAGTCTGACACTGTTTCCACTGTTTCCCCATCTATTTCCCATGAAGTAATGGGACCAGATGCCATGATCTTAGTTTTCTGAATGTTAAGTTTTAAGCCAACTTTCTCACTCCCCTCTTTCACTTTCATCAACAGGTTCTTTAGTATTTCTTTACTTTCTGCCATAAGGGTGGTATCATCTGCATATCTGAGGTTATTGATATTTCTCTTGGCAATCTTGATTCCAACTTGTGCTTCTTCCAGGCCAGTGTTTCTCATGATGTACTCTGCATATAAGTTAAATAAGCAGGGTGACATTATACAGCCTTGACATACTCCTTTCCCTATTTGGAACCAGTCTGTTGTTCCATGTCCTGTTCTAACTGTTGCTTCCTGACCTACATACAGATTTCTCAAGATTTCTCAAGAGGCAGGTTAGGTGATAGTTTATAGAGACTGTGACTTGGGAGAGCCAACTCTTAGACTTGTGAAATATTTGGTAAAAAAAGGTCAGATCTTTGGCAGCTTACTGTGAAATGACAACAAAGAAGACAGAGAATTTAGATAAGAAGGTGTAGGGTATTAACTTGAATATGATTTATCTGCTGAAAAACAGGGTTTTTTTCTTCGCATATATTGTCTTATAAATCCGTTTTTGAAAAGCATTTAGAAATGATTGGAATTAAGGTTTGCCCCCCCTTTTAAAAATTGTGGTAAATAACATACACTTACAGTATTGTTGACTGTGATAACAATATTTGTAGTAGGTCTGTAGGTTTTCATCTTGCATGACTGAATCTCCCTATCATCAACTCATTTCCCCATTCACCTGTTTCCCCATCATGCCACCTACCCCCATCTCTCCCTCCAGCAATTGCCATTCTTCTTTGTTTCTGTAAGTTTGATTACATAAGACACCTCGTAGAAGTGGAATCTGCAGGGTTTGTTGTTGTTGTTGTTATTGACTCATTTCCCTCTCAAGGTTTATGTTTGTTGTCACAAATGGCAGGATTTCCTTTTAAGGCTGATAACTTGCATTGTATGCATACACCACATTTTCTTCATCCAGGCATTTGTTCACAGATTCTTCAGTTATTTCCACCTCTGAGCTATTGTGAATAATGCTGAAATGAATATGGGAATTCAGCTATCATCGTAAGATCCTCGTTTCAATTCTTTCTGTAAATGTATTTATTTAATTAATTTAGTGTTGGTTGTGTGTGGACTTCCTCTCGTTGCGGAGAGTGAGGGCTCCGCTCAGCTTGTTGCCGGCTTCTCTAGAGTATGTGGGCTTCAGTACTTGTGGTGCTGGGCTTATTAGCTGTTCTGAGGCCTGTGTGATGTTCCCTGACCTGGGATGGGACCCATGTTCCCTGCATTGGCAGGTGGATCCTTAACCACTGGACCACCAGGGAAGTTCCTCAGTGCTTGTGTATTAAGTTCCCAGAAGTGGGATTGCTGGATCATAGGTAGTTCTATTTTTAGTTTTTAAAGGAATCTGCATGCTATTTCCATAGTGGCTGCATCAATTTCCATCCCCATCCACAGTGCACAAGCGTTCCCATTCTCCATGTCCTCACCAACTTGTTAACCCTTGTCTTTTTGATGAGAGCCATTTAACAGGTGATACGTCACTGTGGTTTTGATTTGCATATCCAATGATTTCATCATCCTTTTATATACATGCACTGGTCATAAATAAATCTTCAAAGAAGGGTCTATTCAAGACCTTTGAACATTTTTAATTGGAATTTTTTGGTTGAATTTTGTGTAAGGGTTCCAATTTATCCACATTCTTTTATCCAGTTAGTCTTTGCTTGTGCTGATGATGAATCCTTTGTATCTGGGGAAAGGAGCCTCCTATCACGCACACAATTTGGAATAGAAAGCTTCTGCTTCCCTTTTAACAAACTGAACGTGATTACTGAACCTTGGGAGCCGTTGTTTGGATAATTTGGGAAAAACTAAAGAGGGTTCTGGAGAAGGACATGGCAACCCACTCCAGTACTCTTGCCTGGAAAATCCCATGGATGAAGGGCCCTGGTAGGCTGCAGTCCATGGGGTCGCTAAGAGTCGGACATGACTGAGCGACTTCACTTTCACTTTTCACTTTCATGCATTGGAGAAGGAAATGGCAACCCACTCCAGTGTTCTTGCTTGGAGAATCCCAGGGACAGAGGAGCCTGGTGGGCTGCCGTCTATGGGGTCACACAAAGTCGGACACGACTGAAGCAACTTTGCAGCAGCCGTAGCAGAGAAGGTTCTTTAAGCAGAGAGGGTAGTAGGGTCCCTGTAATTGATTTCATTTTTTAAAAATTCTTTTGTTTTAAAAACAGGTCGTGGTGGGTCAAACATAAAAGAGATCCAGAGCTCAACATACACGAAAATACAGGTAAATTTTCTGTGTTCTTAAGTCATTAAAGAGGGTGAATTATGGTCATTCCTAACTGTTTCTGTCCTGTTATTAACATATGATGGTAACTTAGATAAGTTGACAAAGTTTTTCATACTTCTTTTTAAAAACTCATCTAAGCTGTAGTGCATTCATTATGTCTTAGATGGTGATTGATGGCAATCCTGTATTTCCTTTACATTTTTATACTACATGAGACTGAGTGCCAGAGGAATGGTAAGGGAACTTGTCTCACCTGCTTTCCCTCTTGAATCTAGATAATAAGAGAGTATCCTGAAGCAGAAGTAAGTATCTTTGGCACCAAGGCAATGCAGAGCAAAGCAAAAACAGTGATAGATGATGTTGTTAAAAAAACAAGAAGAGTACAACACAGAACCCAAACTTGGTAAGTCTGTTTTGCCCCTTAAAGTCCTGTAAAATTTTAAATGTTTCATTCAGTGTCATAAGCCGTATTATAGCTGTTTTTCCTGATAACAAAGCTTTGGCTTGCCATCGTTAAATCTAGTATGTTATAGAAGGAATTTTTTTCTATGAAATCCAGAATACTTTTCCTCAAACTGGAACACTTAGTATCTGTGGTTAAGTCTAGCAGTTTCAGTAGTAAAACAGAATAACCTTTTAATACACTTCGCTGTTGATAGTAGAGCAAGAGATAGTCCTAGCCTCCTGTCTATGGTCATTTCCTGGAATTTGACTGACTTTGAAAACTGTTTAAGTATTTGATATGTTTAAAAAATCTCAAATATACTTGGACTAGAGAGAAAGCCATTATTAAGCCATTTCCAGGAGAGCCTTGTGTTCAGCTAGCAACCTTGCATCTTGGTGTTTCTTGGGAAAATACCTCTAAAAAGCCTCTAGGATACTATTTCCTCTGTTTACCTGGGGTAGCATCTGCCATACAGTATTATTATAAAGATTTAGTGATGTGTGATTTATTAGCAATCATTAGGCGCTCATGCTTTTTAACTTCTCCAGTAATTTTGTGTTTTTTTTGCCTTTCAGAAATCTGAAGTAAATAACCGATAAACCATGACCGGAATTGTCATGGCACTGTTGTACTAAATTCCTAGATTTTATGTTTCAGGCATTATTATTGTTGGGTTATTAAAACAGAAAATTGTAAAATGTCTTGGGATTTTATATTGGTTAGGTTTGTTTGGAAACTCATGTGGAATTTTTTAACAGATGTTGCTGCTGCCCAGCTTTCGGATGGAAAAGATACAATAAAGGATGTTTCAGGAGAGCAGAAATTAATTGATTGGGATAAAGTCCGAGAAAACATTTTGAAATGGAATGAGAAAAAGTGGGCAGGTTAGTGCTGGATCCCAGCATTTATCTATAGTATATTGTTGTTCCTCTTAATTGAGGTTTTTAGCCTCTGTAAAAAAAAGTGTTGCTCTTAGTAATGAAATCTATATGCAAAATGACAGTAGAATTTGAAATGCTACAAGTAGTGCCTCGGGCATGATAGTTTCTATGTCTGTGTTGTGGTTTATGTTATAAATGGGAGGTTAAAATTTGATATCTTGTCTTCTTTGAGATAACTCACTGCACAAGTTGAATAAAATTAGAAAATTGGGGCAAAAGGGAAATGAAGTGAGTAAACCTGCCAACCATAAGTTAACATTTTGCTGTGACTGAGCAAAAATTGATCTTGGAGTTTCTTAGCCAAGAAGGACAAAATAAAATGGGAAAAACATTTAATAAGTGCATACAGTTCTTGAGGAAACAGATGTTTAAAATTCTCACTTGGAATTATATATTAAGTATAATGTTCCATATTATTCATTGAATTTCAGAGTAAATTCAAGCTTCATTTGATCAGAATGAGACAGAAAAACAACACCATTTATTTAAAGTTAAGCAGTGACCATTACTGTGTGACTATGGTGGTCTGCCTGTCCAATGCCATCACAACACAAGTGTTAGAAGATTTGGGGCGGAGGGAGGGGACAGAAAAAGGGTTTAAGTTTGGTAGAGTTCTGATGAGCATTTAAAAAAGAAAACAAATTAGCTTCAGAGAATAGAATGAGAGTAAATATTTTATTCCTTAACAGTAGTGGGATGGATCTTCAAAGCAAAGCAAAGACAGTTAGTCTGCTATGAGAAAAGATTCGTCAGTTGTGATGACTGAGTGTCTTGTGAAGCATGGTTTATTTTTTATTTAATTATTCAAGGTATCTTTCTTGGGTGAAAAATGTAATTGAAAGACAAACCAAAAATGGAGATCTCCTAGAAGTTGGCAAAGTGTAGAACAACTGTCTAATAAAATCCCCATGTATGCAAGGCGAACTTGATATATATTTTAGTTTGGTTTCTATTGCTTTGAATAAATGACAGTAAAATGTGAATTCTCATTACTCATTGAAGTTTAAATTTTGTTTTTTTCCCCAGATTTGCCTCCAGTTAAGAAAAACTTTTACATAGAGTCAGAAAAAACAAGTTCAATGTCACAAGAACAAGTAGACAATTGGAGGTGGGTTAGTTGTAATACTTTTTAGTGAGTATTTGTAGAATTAGGCTAGTAAATTAGCTCACTCAGAAAAGACTTTAAATGATTGCATTTGAATCTTTAGCTTCTATATTCAAAAGAAAACTTGGTTGCATCTGAAATCATATATTAGAGATTTCTAATCAGTACAACTTTTGGCAAAGAGGGAAAATGAGCTATATTTGTGTCTAGAGTAGTTACTATCCATATATGGTTATTAAATACTTAACATATAGCCCATATAATTAAGGAGCTGAATTCTGATGTTTAATTTTAAAGAGAGACATGGTTAGTTTCTGTCCTATTTGGCAGTAATTTTATAGAATTATTTCTACAACTGTTGAAAATCATAAGAAATTGATCTGATATCTGAATAGTAGAATAATTTCTTACTTTTAAATCCTTATTATATGGACTTAAAAGTCCTAATGGTAACATTTTTTTCTATTAATATCTTTTATAAAACTAAGCTAGTATGGTACAGCAGACAGAGCAGTTATTCTAGGATTGAGGTAGTGCTCTGACTGTGGACAGATAACTAAAGACCACCTGTCCAATGAGAGTAATTCCCACTTCAGAGGATTGCTTTGAAGGATTAATTAAGGAAATGTGTGTGAAATGTTATAGGCCCTCAGGTATTTGCCAAGTCTGACTTTGATTCATGAAGCATATAATTTTCAGGTTCTATTCTCAGCCTTTTCATGAAATTCTCATTGGCTCATTTTTCATGTGTACAGTGTAATTATTTTTCTTCTTTGGAACTGTTCTGGTTAAAAAAAGATGAACTAGCTTCTATTTCGTATTACTTTTTTTTTTTTACTGTAATTTAACCAACAGTCTGATTTTAATCAGTTGCCATTGAATTTCTAGATATGCCCTTAATGTTGGAAAAAATTTCTTGCTTGGGGAGTAAAGTGATCAAAGCCACTAATCCTTGTTCTATTTTCTTAAAGGAAGGAAAATTATAATATAATTTGTGATGATTTGAAAGATGTTGAGAAACGTCCTCTTCCTAACCCTACTTGTAATTTTGAGGATGCATTTCACTGTTACCCTGAAGTTATGAGAAATCTTCAAAAGGCAGGTTTTCAAAAGCCAACACCAATTCAGGTATGCTTACTTAAATTCTAACATTTCACTGACTCCCCCCGCCCCTGCCAGTTTCTGATCATTTGAACTTATAACACCCGGGACAACCGTCTCTTATAAGCATCCTCCCAGCACACCCACCACTGCCTAGCACTGAAAATGTTGAGAAGTTTGGGGCTGGGAAAGGAGGAGTACTTGACAGAAATAAATGTACTTTTTATTTTAATATTTATCATTCTGTTCTAGTCACAGGCATGGCCAATCATCCTACAAGGAATAGATCTGATAGGAGTAGCCCAGACTGGAACAGGGGAGACATTGTCCTACTTAATGCCTGGATTTATTCATATTGACTCCCAATCTGTGTAAGAATTTCTACATCTGGGTACTCTTTAGGGGTTCAGTAGATAAGGATTCCAAAAAATGCAATGAAGATTTCTTTGATTGCACTGGTCCAAGGGCAGTGCTTCATCGCAGGGAAAAATCACTTTCTGTTGTGTGGGTGGATATAAATGGATGAAACATTTTCAGGAAGCAGCAGGTAGTATCCACCACAAGTCTTCACAGTGGGATGTTGGAAACAGTTTGTTCAAATGACCGGGTTCAGTACAGTCCTCTGAGAATGTCTGACACAGAAAGGCACTGGCTGTGTTCACGAGAAGGCTCATGTCTGGGCTCTAGGATTCTTTGGTCAGGCTGTTTTTATTTCTCCACTTTTTATAAGAGGTGCATGTTGATGATTTAGACATTCATTGCTGCTGATTTTGAAGGCACTGGACGGAGGTCCTGTGTGCCTGAGATGGATACTGATGTGCTTTTTCTCCAAAGAGCCAGGAATGGACCTGGCATGTTAGTCCTCACCCCAACTCGCGAGTTGGCTCTGCAGGTGGATGCCGAGTGCTCTGAATACTCATACAGAGGTCTTAAAAGGTGAGTTGCTTTCTTTGGCCATCCCTGCACCAGCATTTTAATCCTCTGTAGCTTTAGATATCCTCCTCGTTGTTTTCACACATAATGAGAAGCCAGTTGGCTCAGCATGTGGCCAAGCATTGATTACCCCTCATTCAAATTGACTGTAGCTGGGGCGGTGGGGTCAGGTAACGAAGATTTGAATGTGAATCTTTTAGGACACATCAGTGTGGGTTGATGGCTATGGATCGTTCTCAGAAAGGAGCCAGGACTATACTTAGCCTGATACTTTAGATTTATATACTTTTTAAAATTTTATACCCGAAATCGGCTTAGGTTGGTTGGGATTTTGAATTGTGATGGGGTATTCCCCACCTGAACATGAACCTCTGTATTTTTTTTAAGTGTTTGTATATATGGTGGTGGCGATAGAGATGGACAAATAAAAGATTTATTGAAAGGTGTAGATATTATCATCGCCACTCCTGGAAGACTCCATGACCTACAGATGAATAACTTTGTGCACCTGAAAAGCATAACCTACCTGGTAATCTTGGAGCAGGGGTTTGAGGTCCTGGGAGGAAGAACTTAGCGCTCATCAAACCTTTTAAAATGGCTGTCCATTTCATAATAGGTTTAAATCCTAGGAATGCTTCTGATTCTCTCTAGTTTGTTAAAATACACATTTTAAAGATAATTCCATTTTAATATTTTATAAATGTTAGAAAATGCAGATAAGTACAAAAGAATTCCACATGAATACTTTATAGACATTTAAATTATATTTTCATTAAATATATTTAGAAACTTACTTGTTGTCAAACAAATCAGTCGTGTTGCAAGTACACATAGTTTAGGTAGTGGAGGAAATGAGAAAGCTATCTTAATATTCATAGGGAAAGAACATATATGTTAGCTACCATCCACATCTAATCTAGCCCTTTTTTGGCTTTGCCGTGTGGCTTTCAGGATCTTAGTTCCACTACCAGGTATCGAACCCATATCCTCGGCAGTGAAAGCACAGAGTCTTAACCACTGGTCCACCAGGGAATTCCCCTAATCTGGCCCTTTCTAATACAGGTATTAGATGAAGCTGACAAAATGCTGGATATGGGATTTGAACCCCAGATAATGAAGATTTTATTAGATGTACGCCCAGACAGGCAGACAGTTATGACAAGGTAGGTGTATGTTTAATTTGCCAGTCTGCAAAGTAGGAACCAGTGGAACAGAATTCATTTGATTTTAGAGCCTTACATAAAAGTATTTTGAGATCTGTTGGTGAAAGATATGTTATCATTTAGTATAGCAACTCAGTGCAACAGCTTAACAATGACTACTGGGTTTCCTGAATTAAAAATAAGATTTTTATGAAAACATCCTGGGGAGACTGTTCTATAGGGGGTCTCAGATTAGAGAAAGTAACCCATCTGTCCTTAGAGGTGAATATTTGATCACAGAACACTTTTTATCCAAGATAAAACTGAGGCAAGGAAGAGTATATAACTGGGGAAATACACTAAATTTATTAATTTTGTTTCCTAAGTAAACCTTGTTAATTAGTATGAAAGTACAGAAGGTGGTTGTTTTCATAATATATCACTGAAGAAACATCTGAATTTACATATCCAATTATCATTACAGTTAAAATGTTTTTATTTGGCTCAAGCTCTTGGTTTTGTCTGCCGACAATGTATGAAAGGGCTTCCCAGGTGGCGCAGTGGTGAAGAATCTGCCTGCCAATGTAGAAGATGCAAGAGACTCAAGTTTGATTCCTAGGTTGGAAAGATACCCTGGAGGAGGTAATGGCAGCCCACTCCAGTATTCTTGCCTGGAAAATCCCATGGACAGAAGAGGCTGGTGGGCTACAGTCCATTGAGTTGCAAAGAGTCAGACATGACTGAGCATGCACACACACACAGTGTATGAAAAACACTGGGTTTTTACTTTTATTTTTTACCATTTATAAAGGCCAAGAGAAAACTAATGTAACACCTGAATTCATTTTAGCTCCCTGTAGATGGGAAAGGTATACCTCTCCTTCACCTTTTGTTTATAAACCTATTAAACTTATTTGAAGATTTCATCTAGTAGCTTCTTTGAGCAGTTCATTATGAAGCATATATTTTCTGTGAAATCAGCCTCATTAAAAAGTACTGTTTGTCTTTCCTGGGTAATTTGGTTCATAGCATTCTTAGGGAAACTTAGTAATGTTTGATTCCTAATAAACATTTTAAAGTTTTTGTATTACATTTTATCTCTAGCGCAACATGGCCATATGCTGTTCGTAGACTTGCACAATCTTACTTGAAAGAGCCCATGATTGTGTATGTTGGTACTTTGGATCTAGTCGTAAGCTTATTTTTAATTATTATTTATATCTTATTAATTTTGTAAATGTTTTGCCATTATAAAGTTCATTGGCCTTTCACTTCATAATTGAAATTGACCTTTTAACTAATTATTAATGAAAATTGACGTTTTCCTTAAACAGTGGTAATTAATAACATGTTGTTGCCTAGGCCCATTTTATTAGATTTCACAAAAGTCAGGATAAAGACTTCAAAATCTGTTTCATCTTGGGGGCAGAAAAATGGTAACAATGATATTTGGAAATTTTGTATTAAGTTGTCACAATACTTAATTGAAGCTTAGTGTCATAAGCTGAACATTGTAAAGGCTGTAGCCACAGTTCATGGCAGTGGTTATTGTAAGCTTGGCCTCAACCCATGGTCATTCCTTTTCAAATGATAGCAACCAGTTGCCTTCAACTCATTGACAAGCGTTCAAAATTCCAAGCTTATCTTGGGTAACTAAGTGGTAAAAAGTCAAAGACTGAGCTCTAAATCCCTGAGTAAGAACGGGAGATTTTTGGAAGAACTTGCCACTTCTTCTGCTGGCAGTTTATTAAAACATTTAACCAATGACAGAAGTAAGATGGATTTCGAGCCATCAAGGGGTTTGCCCATTAATGTTGATGTACCATGATCTGTGAATCCTTTAGGCTGTAAGTACCGTGACACAAAATATAATTGTCACCACAGAAGAAGAGAAGATCACATATCCAAGCTTTCATTGAGAGCATGTCTCCCAAGGACAAAGTCATAATATTTGTCAGCCGGAAAGCTGTGTGAGTGTATTTTTTTACATTGAAATCATCAGTCATGTGTTTGTTTTAGCATTGTTTCTATTTGTATAATCATTTCAAACGAGGGGAGGGTGTATGTCTTACAGTATGTACATTACTTCAGACTCTTGCCAGGGGAAGTAACAGTAATGAAATGATTGTGGTATTCAAATAAGCAATTAGACCCCTGACTTTATTTTTTGTTTTAGGGCTGATCATTTATCAAGTGACCTGGGTATCCGGCGTGTATCAGTAGAGTCTCTGCATGGCAATAGAGAACAGAGTGATAGAGAGAGAGCATTAAAAAGCTTTAAAAGAGGTACATTTATACAGTTAGTATTGTGGTTTAAAACTGCCCAATGCCTGGTCTTCCTCAGTGATGGCACCTTTCATGGAACCCATGTCTAAAATCTGCCTTCAGCTAACAGATCCCAGAACTAGCTCTAAATGTTAATCAGATTCTCTCTCTCCAACTCATGTTTAAAACCTAGATATCAAGGTAAGAATTTGAACTGGGGGATGGTTGTCTTAATTTACCTGAAAGGCATGTATCTTTGACATGATTCATGAACCATTTGAATGGTGGTATCTATTCTGTTGTAAATTGCCAGAAGTTAAAATTCTTTAAGATTCTTTAACTTCCGATGCAGGGGTTCCATCCCTGGTTGGGGAACTGAGATCCCACATGCCTTGTGGCCAAAAAAAAAAGACTAAGTAACCCTTTCCCCATGCACTCTCTTTTAAGTTTTTTTTTTTTGATATTCAAAGCAGTAATATTTCACCTGATTAGCTCATAGGGAACAGGTATGTCTTGGGTTGGTTTGTACCAGAATGTGTCTGTATTCTTTGGGCTTCACTCTTCAGGTAAAGTGCGAATACTGATCGCTACTGATTTAGCATCTCGTGGTCTTGATGTCCATGATGTAACGCATGTCTATAATTATGATTTTCCCCGAAACATCGAAGAATATGTCCACAGAGTGGGACGTACCGGGAGAGCAGGGTAAGTCTGTGGAGCCTGCCCACCAACCCCGGGGAGACCCCTCATTCTTCTCACAGACTGTCCTTACTTTGAAAAAGAGACGCTTTACTTTCTCTCTTCGAGCAAAGTCGTAAAACCCCTATGATGTGCTGTTTGATCAGCTGCCGATTAGATCCCAAATGGCTATTTCAGTGGCTAAGTTTTTTTAACTGAAGTATGGTTGATTCACAGTGTTTTGTTAATTACTGCTGTACTGCGCAGTGATTCAGTGATACATATATACATTTTTAAATATTCTTTTCCATTATGGTTTATCACAGGGTTTTGAATATATTAATAGTTCTTTGTGCTGTATACAGTAGGAACTAGCTGTTAGCCATCCTATGTATTAAAGCTTCCACTGCTATCCCCAGCCTCCCACTCCCATCTCTCCCCCAAATCTGTCCCTCTGGGCAACCATGAGTCTGTTTCTCTATGTCTGTGATTCTATTTCTGTTTCAGAGATAGGTTCATTTGTATCATATTTTTGATTCCATGTGTAAATAATGCCATATGATATTTGTTTTTCTCTGTCTGACTTACTTCACTTATTGTGATAATCTCTAGGTCCATCCATGTTGCTGCAAGTGGTATTATTTTATTCTTTGTTATGGCTTAGAAGTATTCCATTGTATATATCTACTACATCTTCTTTGAATGGCTAAATCTTAATGCATCATACATAGCTGGGTGTGCGAAAGAATTGACGTTTTACTATAGTTTTATTCAGTGTTGCTAGCTGAATCATTAATATAAATTATAAATCAAATTACATTAACTTTTTCCCCCCTTGAAGGAGGACCGGGGTATCTGTTACCCTTATCACTAGAAATGATTGGAAGATCGCTGGTGAATTAATTAATATTCTGGAAAGAGCAAATCAGGTGAGAATATGCAACTCTATTTTCTAAGGTTCAAGTTTCATTTATTCCGAGTACTGGGGCTTACAGCCTGTCAGGAAATATAGATATTAAGCAAATAATTATGTGTGTTTTGAGAGTTGTAACATGGCAAAGACGAGGTCCTATAATATAATATGATGATATAATGTATAACCGGGGAGCCTGTTCTAATGTGGAGGAGTGTCACTGGACACTGCTGAGGAAGAACTCGGTGGGTGGAGGTTGGAGAGTGTAGGAGAAGCAGGGCACATCCTCAGGCCTCGAGAGGAGAAAACGGCACCAGATAAAGGCACTGGGAAGCAGCCAAGGGCCATGTGAGCAGGAGGGCTGCGTGCCTACTGACAGGGAGTTTTACCACCAGACTGGTTTTTATACCTTGAAAATTCAGTGTTGACTGTGCAGAGGAACACATTCCATTCTGTTTTGGAAGGTATCTGTAATCAATTGTGGAGATTCTCTATTTGGAGGCATTTTAGTATGTTATAGAAAAGCTGATATGTTAAAGGTATCATCTCAACCCTAATAAGACATTTATTGGCTGCAGAGTGTCCCAGAGGATCTTGTCTCAATGGCTGAGAGATACAAAGCAAATAAACTGAAAAAAGAAACAGAAAACAAATGGGGAAAACCCAGGAAGTTTTATCGTTAATGTCTGTGTAGAAAAATGGTACCAGCCTACTAAAAATGGTAAAATTTGAAAAACTCATGGACTTTCAAATGCCTGTTTTCCTTAGCTAGGTATTGTTAGTGTGTTTATTACAATCAGCATTATCTCTAAGAGCCATTAACATAATAAATCAGGTCTTATTCTTTATTTGGGATCTATGATAAAGAATCTGCCTGCAGTACAGGAGACCAAGGTTCAATCCCTGGATCAGGAAGATCCCCTGGAGAAGGGAACAGCTACACACTCTAATATTCTTGCCTGGAGAATTCCATGAAACTTTCGAGCTTCCCTGTGGCTCAAATGGTTAAGAATTTACCGGCATTGTTGGAGATCCAGGTTTGATCCCTGGGTTGGGAAGATACCTGGAGAAGGGACTGGCTACCCACTCCATAATTCTTGCCTGGAGCATTCCATGGAGAGAGGAGCCTGGTGGGCTACAGTCAATGAGGTTACAATGAGTTGGACACAACTACACACATGCACCATGCCTCTATTCTTTAGCTGTTCCCTAAATTCCAGTTAATATATCTTAAAGTTATTAATTCAAAAGTGAGAAAAAATCTTTTAAGTTGTCTGGAGAGATCATTGAGCATATAATGGAATTGGTGGAGGTGTAAATTAGTGTAAGCTCTTACACCTGAGCAATTATGTGGCAGTGTATTAATTGTAAATACATATACCTTTTTTTTGGGTTTTGGCTATGCTTTGCAGGTTGTGGGATCTTAGTTCCCTGAGGGGACTGAACCCAGTCCCCAGCACTGAAAGCACTCAGTCCTAACCATTGAACAAACAGGGAATTCCCCATATGCCCCTTGATCTGGTAATTCCCCTGGGCACACATATCCAGTGTGGAGCCATTTCAATAAACAATGGCGAAAACCACATCATGGAATAATATCTATAACACAGAGGACTCCTAAAACTGAACATAAACAAGCTGATTAGAACATGCACAAAGGATTTGAATAGACATTTCACCAAAGACACACAAATGCCCAACAAGTTAAAGATGCTCAGCCTCACTGATCACTGGGGGAGACAAGGATCACCCTGCCCTGTTAGGGGCACACTACATCAGTATGTGTTTTTTTGTGTTTATTTTTCAGAGTTCAAGATTTTTCAGAATTACAGTTATTTGACGTACTGTGCAAGTATTGGAAGCATGCTGGCAGTATGAAGAGATAGCTGAATCTTAAAATAATAGTGTTTGAAATGTAGAATATTTTATACTTTCCTTAATGAAGCAAAAAGTATTTAAACTTGAGTTGAAGTTTTTTATGGATATTAAAGAATGTAGCATTAAAGTTTCACTTTTTAGTATCTTTATTTAAAAAAAAATAAAGGTAAATTTTGTCTCCTATAATGTTGCTATGGGAAGGTCCATCTAAGGGGTTTATTTAAATCTTGTTCACAAGTTGTCATAGCAGTGAAAATGTTAACACAATAAATGTTTTTCTATAATAAAAAGGCCATCTGGTCTGTCTTTCTCAATAGCCTTTAAGTCTGTTTACCACATCATGTTTCTTTTTTTTTTAATTGGAGAACAATTACTTTACAATCTTGTGTTGGTTTCTGACATACATCAGGATGACTTATCCACAGGTATACATATGTGCCCTTCCTGCTGAAACTCCCTCCCTTCTCCCTGCCCATCCCACCCCTCCAGGTCGTCACAGAGCACTAGGCTGAGCTCCCTGTGTCACAGAGCAAATTCCCACTTGCTCTGGCTTTACATCAGGTCATACATATGCCTCCATGCTGTTTTCTCAGTTGGCCCCACCCTCTCTTCCCCCACTGTGTCCACAAGTCTGTAGTCTGTTCTCTATATCTGCATCTCCATCGCTGCCTTACAAATAGGTTCATCAGTAGCATCTTTCTAGATTCCATACCCATGCATTAATATACAAGATTTGCCTTTCTGACTTATACAGTGTTTTATTTGGTGGTATTTTTCTTAACACTTTACATACTTTGAAATGAAACAGTAAAGGAATTTCATAGACCAAAATAGCAACAACTATATGTTACATTTTGGCCTATGTCCCCAGGCCCAAGTAAATCTTGGGAAAGTTCATTTCTATGAAAGCTGCTTTGATCATGTTCCCAACTTTCCTCTGTAGTTATGTGTACAGTTTTCTGTTCCCTACATAATAATTACGTGTGTCAAGTATCATCTGTCAGAAGCCGAATAGGAAATATATTCATAATACAAGAACCACACTCTTCAAAAGGTGTATGCAATAAGAATAAATTTTGTATTAAATTTCATTGCATCAAAATGCATTAAAATAATTGAAAAACACATTAATGTGGATTATAGATAGGTTTTCAGTGAAGGTGGGCTAGGCTAATAGCTAAGAGCTTTTCTTAAAACACAGGATTAAAAGCAATACATAATGGAGGGGAAAGACAGTTGCTTCAATAAATGGTGTTGGGCAAACTGGTCATTGACTTTTAGAGATGGGGAAACAAATTCAACAAGACTTACCGGGCACCAGGGCATTGTCTGGACCAGCCTCTTGCCCTCCTGACCTGGCCAGTGCTCATCCGCTTCCTGACGTGCAGCACAGCCGTAACCCAGCCTGTGGGGTGCATCGGGTCATCCTGACCTTGCCCCTGAGCAGAGGTTCCCAAGGCCAGCCTGGCTCTCAGAGACTGAAACAACTTGCTGGATTCAAGGCTGGGAAGGCAGTTGAGTGTTGCCAAATGAATGGGAGGGGAGAATAGAGCAGCCTATGAGTGAAGTCCAAGGTTCCACCGTCCTGGTGGAACATTCACAACATAGACTCGCTGTGTGGTCTATCGCTCAGACTTCAGCCTTTCAGGCGGGTCATTCGAGTGACCCTGACTTGAGCAGACACAGCTCTGTGGCCCTGCCAGTAGCCGTCCCATCCCTGTTGGTGAGAAAGGCAGCTGGACTGAAGGACAGGTGAGCTCGGATCACAGCTGGGGAGTGGGTGCACCAGGGCTGCCTTTGTGTTCCTTCCATTTTGTTACAGTTTCCAAGTGTCTAGTTAGGGAGGGTGAAGTTGACCCTATTTCTTGTGGTGGAATCCAGGCAGGGGCAGGGTGAGACTTTTTCTTAGGGTAGGCATGTCTACAGGCAACTTTTTCATCGAGCTTGCATCTTTAAACACAAGCCCTTCCATGGCCTTCACTTAATGAACACATCTTTGGCAATGACAGAGCTTGGGTGTATCTCCTGTTTCACATGTCTGTTATCTGTTCTGCCTATCAGAGTGTTTGGGGGTGCAAATTTGTTGCTTTTATTGTTCATTTTGTAACTGAATTTCTATTTCAGGCCTCCTCATATTGTCTGTGACAATAACTTCCCGACAAATTAGGGTACATGAGTGCAAAGTCAATTCATTTGTGTCGCACTCTGCGAGCCTATGGACTGTAGCCCGCCAGGCTCCTCTGTCCATGGGATTCTCCAGGAAAGAATACTGGAGTGGGTTGCCATGCTTCCCCCAGGGGATCTTCCTGACCCACATAGTGCCCCCTGTGAAGCTGCATAACTTAGGGGGGTCATATATATTTTCATTTTGTAATCTATGGCTCTGTACTATTAAAAGACTCTTAGTTCTGGGAGGATCTCTTTAGTATTGAAATGTTGCTGTGATGAGCTGTGAATGACGCTGGGATTCTTGGCCTCCAGAGAAGAGGAATTCAATCTGGGGTCAGTGATGAAGCTTGATCACTCAGAGCTTTTTATGTAATGAAGTTTTATTAAAGTACAAAAGACATAAAAGACAGTTTCTGACATAGATATCAGAAGGGGACAGAAAGAGTGTCCTCTTGCTAGTTTCTAGCATGGAGTTATATACCTATTAGCAAATCCTCATTAGAGAAAAGAAACACCTCAAGGTTGAGAGAATTGCACCGGGCACCTCACTGACAACATACATTTTGAGACATCATTGGCACAAGCTGAGTCATGCCTGGCCATAAAACCGTTGATCAGAATCTTGAAGAAAGACAGATTTCCAAACAAATACATAGTTTTGTTTTTTTTTTTAAACACATTAACATAGCTTAAGGAAGACATTTCCATGAGAAAAATGCATTGGTAAGCTCAAGATTTCAAATAAAGTTAAGTTCAGGCAGAAGCAGGTATTGTCATGACAACACAGAACTTTAAGAGAAAAAAGGAATAAAAAAAGTCCACCAATTGCAGTTTTAATTCCTCCTGCCACTTGGGCACCTCTGACCTGCCTACAGAGGCTATTAACACTCTCAATATGTATGTGTCTTTTTGTGTTAAGTAAGTAAGTGTTAGTAGCTCCGTCGTGCCCAAGTCTTTGTGACCCCATCA